GAATTTATAGAAGTATATCAAAGAAATTATGGATTTAATTTTAAAAGAAGTGGTGTTGCCCTTTTAAGTGATCTAAACAATGAAGAACATTAATTTTTAAGTATAACAAGGTTAAGTCAAAGAACCATATTCCAATAAAAAAAAATACTATTGTCAATAAAAAGAATATTAATGGGATATTAATTTCAACTTAATTTAAGGTCGCTACGGTATACATATCATAAACATTAAATGTGAAAATACTTCATTTAAATTTTTATAAAACGTCACTTTCATCTTAAAATATAGTCATGGACTTGCGTGTTTTGAAAATACCTTTATAAATGACAAAATGAAAGACTAAATAAAATAATTAAATGTTTAAATTAAATGCATCCTATTCTAGCCTATGTCTAAGAAAATAAATACGACTACTCTATGCATGTGTCATGGTCTCGAGTTGCGATGTCGTAGTCAGTCTTACAGTAATTTCTTGCCTTAACCTAAAATAGAGGTAGCACGTGACTTAAATATTTAAAGAAATACTCAGTAAGTGACCCCACTATTGGGGGTTAAATGCAAGAACATGTAAATGCAATGATGGGACCTATCATATCAGTCTATTTTCCTAAAGTACTATCATATCTCAAGCATATCATTGAACACATCGTATCATAAGTTATTATCATACAATTCGCATATTATATCATACACATATCATATGATAGACATATCGATCCATGAACAATTCACACATATCAATATATATGACACGTACAGAACCACAGGGCACGTGTCAACATTAAATATAACCATGTCGATAGTAAGATCACTTACCTGATTAGCTTAAGTAGTTGTCACGAATATATCTTTAATGAAAGTTCGATTTTATCTTTTGAAATCCAAGTCAACCTATGTGAGCCCATGACATCTGTTTCAAGTTTAAACTTTTATAAAATTATTTCTCTAACTTAACTTGATTCATTTGTTAAGCTCCATGAGAACATTAGAGTCTTTTATTAAAAATTTCATTTTCGATTGTTATGGGTTGATAGAGTTATTTTAAGTTACATTATTTCATTCACTCAATTCTCTTTCTTTTTTTCTTGTATTTATTCTGTTATGCCTTTTATTTATTTATTTTATTTTTATCGACATGTATAGGTTCCATTTGTATACTTGGTGGAATTTGGCATATCTTAACTAAACCGTTTGCATGGGCTCGCCGCGCACTTGTATGGTCTGGAGAAGCTTACTTGTCTTATAGTTTAGGTGCTTTATCCGTTTTTGGTTTTATTGCTTGTTGTTTTGTCTGGTTCAATAATACTGCTTATCCGAGTGAGTTTTACGGGCTGACTGGACCCGAAGCTTCTCAAGCTCAAGCATTTACGTTTCTAGTTAGAGACCAACGTCTTGGAGCGAGTTCCCAATCTTTTCTTTATTTTATTGTGTGTTTCTTGTATTTTATTATTCCAAATTTCCAGCTCATCCTTATTTCACAGATTTTCTTTGCCAATTTTTTTTTAATCACTTCATTTGGGTACTATATAAATAATTGACCTTTAGTTTCTAACTCAAGGCTAAGTAATTGCAATAATTTAATGAAGATCTACCATATAATTAATTGTGATTTCTAAAAATGTAATTAGGATAAAAGAAAAAGAAGATTTAAGGTACACCTTACTCACTAGATGACTAGACCTCTCTGAAGTAAATCTTTGTCTACCCGTTTAGAGTAAAGGTCATTTCCATTTCCATTTTTTCCTCCAAGTAGATCTAACATCTTTTGTTTTGTTTTTTTTTTTTTTTTTTTCTATTTCTTTTTGCACGAAAATGGTGATTTTAGGTGATTTGAGGAGAGATAAGGAGGAGAGGGATGAGATGTTAGTGGAGAGATGTAATAGCCTAAAAAAAATAAAAAATATAAATAAAGGAATAAATAAAATCATAAATAAAGAAATAAACCAATAAAAAAAATTATAAAAGAAAGAGTTATATAACAATAATAATAATAAATAAATAAACAAAAAAGAGAAACAACATTTCCTACTTCTCTCCACTAACCTCTCATCCCTTCCCACAATTATCTCTCCTCAACCCATCCTTGAGTCTGAGTCGGAGTAAAGTTACTTGCAAAAAGAAAGAAAAAGTAAAATGGCTTTCAACCTACAGATTTTAGAGATTTTTGTAGGTTATTACTGTAAAATCCTATCTTAGATTTTCTTTTCCTTTATAGTGATGTTATAAGAAATTAGATTTCTTTCCTTTATCTAATATTTTACCGGATCATGTAATAATCAGATCTCATTTTTTCTTATCAGTTATATAAATATTAGTCAAATACTGGTAGGAGTAATATCTGTTAGAGAATGAAAATCTATTTACACAATCAAAAGTAATGAGGGAAGATTGAGGAAAGATTTGGGGAACCAACTCTAAAAATAAAATCTAAAATATCAGAGTAGAAGAAACTACATTGAATATTATCTAGTACGAATATATTTCCTACAACACGGAAAGAAAATAAGATATTTAGTGAAAATAGCATATTATATATATATATATATATATATATATATATATATATATATATATATATATAATATTTCAAGACTTTTAACAATGGACCAAGGTAGACTAGAGAAATAATTTTATAGAGTTCAAATATGAAACTAATGTCATGGGCTCACATAGATTGACTTGGATTTCAAAAGGCGGAATCGAACTTTCATTAAAGATATATTCGTGACAACTACTTAAGCTAACCAGGTAACTGGTCTTGCTATTGGCATGATTATATTTGATGTTGATACGTAACTGTGGTTCTACACGTGTCATATATACTGATATGTGCGAATTATCTATGAATAGGTATGCTTGTATTATGTTTATGTTATGTTATAATATGTGAATTGTATGATAATAATTATGGTACGATGTGTTCAAGGATATGTTTGAGATAGAATGCGAGAAGGATGCAAAACGAAATGTAACGATAGGAGTAAGATACGTTCATGAAACATTAAGGTTAGGTTAGATACCGGAGTGCTATGGATATAGGATATTGATGAAAGAATATGGTTAGGATATGGGTAGAAAGGGATAGGTTTGTGATAGATTGATAGAACGATAGCGTTAGGATCTGTTCCTGTGATGATATGACTAAGGTATGTTCATGTAACGATATGACTGTGATAGGTATAAGAATGTTAAGGCTATGATAAGTTAGGGAACGATATGACCATGATGTGTTTACGATATGACATGTTTATGATACAATATCTTGTGATGTGATATGTTATTTTTAGATTGTTTTGTGTGATCATTGAGGCAATTGTTGTATGAATTGCACGTTATGAAACGGCATGTTAAAAGCATGGAGCGTTATGTTATGTTTTCTTATATGTATAACATGTTATGAATGACATGATATCACGATAAATGAAATGAAATGAAATGTAACCCCGTTAGGATTATGTATGATACGTAAGACTGAAAAATAAGAAATGACATGTTAAGCATGAAAGATGATAGCGAGGTTATATTCAGTCATGATAAAAGTAGAATTGTTGGGGACTTCATGCATTATGTGTGTTCATGCATTTAGGGATATTTCCCTATTCCATCACGAGGGTACGAACGCGTCATCCAATGGCAGGACAACGATCATTATGTTTTGCATAGCACTGCTGTGATGATTACTAGTTCTAACAGTTGTTCGGCCTAGGGAGCATCCGAGTGTATGCTCGCCCGACAAGTAAGGTGGCCCAGTGGTGTGCGAACTGACTGGTGAGCCCACACCTACACGTATGGGCTGTGTATAGAGTATATGATACACGTCCAAATTACCTGTTAGGACAATACCGTCAGAAAATAGATTCAAAAGATAGGTCCCGGCATTGCATTCGCATGTTCTTGCATTTAACCCCAATAATGGGGTCACTTCCTGATTATTTCTTTAAATACTAAAGCCATGTGCAACTAAATTTTTCAGGTTAAGGCAAGGCATTCTTGTACGGCTGACGACACATCGTAACTCAAGACCGTGACACATGAATAGGATAGCGGTATTATTTTCTTAGACTTAGGTTAGAATATGATGTTTTTAACTTGAACGCATATTTATTTTATTTAGTTTTTTGTTGTGTCGTTTTAAAAATGTTTTCGAAACACGTAAGTCCATGCCTGTGTTTTAAGATAAAGGTTATATTTTATGGAATTTTAATAAATTCTTCCGCATTCAATGTTTATGGTACATATACAGTAGGATCGTTACAAGAGAAATGGGGAATAGTGTATTTTTGTTATATCAAGATAGGCTTAAGAAATGTAACTAAGTTGAGAATGTTAAAGTTGTACGATTTATTTACGGTGTATATTTATATTCTCACTTGTTCTACTCTTCCTTTCTTGTATACCGAACTTGAGTACCACGAAGGAGGTAGTACACTATGGAATCTATTTAGTTATGTGAGTTTCGAACAAATTCTATAGTCTTTGCGAACAAAATCGAGAGGTTGTATGAAGTTTTTTTCACTCATCTACTTAGAGATATGGGGTTGATGTAATACACAACATTCAAATTAGATTAAACACACAAATTTTTTTAAAAAAAATATACGTCTTTTTTGGGTAAACGAATAAAGAGAAATAACATCTTTTTAAAGAGCAAAGAACCATATTCTTATCAAACTAAAATTTAAGTATATCAATTAAAAGAAGATAATCTCCGTCTCTAAAATTTTGGGGAATTTATAGTTAAATTGAAGTATATCAAAGAAATTATGGATTTAATTTTACAAGGATTGGGTGTGAACCTTTTAAGTGATATAAACAATGAAGAACATCAATCTTTAAGTATAAAAATGTTGAGTCAAAGAACCATATTCCAAAAGAAGAGTATTAATGTAAATAAAAAGAATATTAATGGGATAAGTGTGGATGTTCTTAAAAGCATCAATCTTATCCTTTTAAACTTTGATTCCATATTAAATGAGTTCTATAAATACCCACAGCTTCTAACCAAACAAAACCACAGCAAAGAAATACAAAGTTTCCTTATACTACATATCACACTACGCCATGAGTGTTGCAGTCAAGGTTTGCGGCCAAGTACCCGCTGTGGAGAAGTGGATTAAAATCCCCGATGTTAGTGGCCACTGCGTGCAAGAGGTCGCAAAGCTTGCGGTGGAACAGTTCAACGTTCAACATGGACACAGTCTTAAATACGATAGCATTCATGAAGGTTGGTATTGTGAACTGGGTCAAAACAACCTAAAGTACCGTCTTCATATTAGGGCGATAGACTTTCTTCAACGCTCTCTCTTGTATGAAGCACTTGTGTTCGAAGAGAAACCTAAGCTTGAAAGAATCAGAAAGTTGATATCTTTCCTCTATTTGTTGAATGGTGGACACTATGTTGGGCCGGTGGATCCACCCCAAGTGGAGAAGTGGATTAAAATTCCTGATCTTCGAGTGCCATTTGTGCAAGAAGTATCAAAGTTTGCAATAGATGAGTACAATAAAGGTGGAGAAGGCTTAAAATACGTTGAAATCTACGACGGTTGGTATGCAGAGATGGGTCAAGACAACATAAAGTTTCGCCTTCATGTTAAGGCGAAAGACTGCTTGGGACGTTTGCGCAACTACGAGGCTATTGTTCTTGTTAAGCAGTTTTTGTCGAAGAAAATCAAGATTCTCGAATCTTTTAAGGTTTTGGATCAAGGAAAGGTTTCGCCTGGTTGGAACCAAATACCAGATGTTAAGGAGCTTGGCTTGCAAGTGGTTATAAAGTTTATTGTGGAACAGATCAAAATTAAATTTGGAGATAGTTTGAAATTTGAAATCGTTTATGAAGGTTGGTATTTTGAGTTGTGCCCAAACAGCCTAAAGTACCGTTTCCATGTTAAGGTGATAGACTTTTTGGGGCGTTCTCTCAAATTTGAGATTATTATAATCGAGGAGAGACGTGTCCTTCTAAGAATCTGGAAGCTGGACTCTATCATTGTCATAGTATCTCCTGAACCTCAAGAGAAGAAGTGGATAACAATTCCTAATGTTCAGGTGCCATTAGTGCAAGAGTTAGCAAAGTTTGCCGTGGATGAGCATAACAAAAACGGAGATGGCCTAAAGTACATTGAAGTCTACGAAGGCTGGTTTATGGACCTGGGTCATGATAACATAAAGTTTCGTCTTCATCTTAAGGCGAAAGACTGGTTGGGACGTATACGCAACTATGAGGCTGTTGTGCTTGTTGAGCACTTTTGGTCCAAGAGAATCAAGATTCTCGAATCTTTCAAGTTATGCGGTCCTCTCGTTTTTGAACCAAAGTGGATTCAAATACCTAATCTTAAGGAGCTTGGCTTGCAAGTGGTTATAAAGTTTATTGTGGAACAGATCAAAATTAAATTTGGAGATAGTTTGAAATTTGAAATCGTTTATGAAGGTTGGTATTTTGGGTTGTGCCCAAACAGCCTAAAGTACCGTTTCCATGTTAAGGTGATAGACTTTTTGGGTCGTCCTCTCAAATTTGAGGTTGTTATTATCGAGGAGATACGTGACCATCTAAGAATATGGAAGCTGGACTCTATCATTGCCATAGTATCTCCTGAACCTCAAGAGAAGAAGTGGATAAAAATTCCTAATGTTCAGGTGCCATTAGTGCAAGAGTTAGCAAAGTTTGCCGTGGATGAGCATAATAAAAACGGAGATGGCCTAAAGTACATTGAAGTCTACGAAGGCTGGTTTATGGACCTGGGTCATGATAACATAAAGTTTCGTCTTCATCTCAAGGCGAAAGACTGGTTGGGACGTATACGCAACTATGAGGCCGTTGTGCTTGTCGAACACTTTTGGTCCAAGAGAATCAAGATTCTCGAATCTTTCAAGTTTTGCGGTCCTCTCGTTTTTGAACCGAAGTGGATTCAAATCCCTAATCTTAAGGAGCCCGGCTTTCAAGTGGTTATAAACTTTATAGTGGAGCAACTCAAAATTATACTTGGAGATTGTTTGAAATTCCATAGCATGTATGAAGGTTGGTATTTTGAATTGTGCCCAATTAGCCTAAAGTTCCGTTTGCATATCAAGGCGATAGACTTTCTGGGACGGTGTCTCAATTATGAAATTATTATTATCGAAGAGAAACGAATTTTCAAGCTGGAATCTATCATCGTCATATTGTCTCCTGGACACTGCGTTGGGCCGGTGGATCCACCCAAGGTCGAGAAGTGGATTAAAATCAGTAATCTTCAGTTTGCATTCCTACAAGAGGTATCAAAGTTTGCGTTGGATGACTTCAACGTTAAATCTGGAGATAGCCTCAGATTTGATGGCATTTACGATGGTTGGTATATGGAGATGGGTCAGGACAACATAAAGTTTCGTATTCATTTAAGGGCAAAAGACTGTCTGAGTCGTGTGCACCACTATGAAGCTTATGTGTATGTAAAGCAGTTTCTCAGTAAAAGAATCAAGATCGTCGAATCTTTTAAGCTTATCGAAAGGAAGTGTTGAAACTCCCCTTTGTATTTTGTAACATGCGATGGTTACAAAAAAAAAATCGTGTTTGGCTATCTATAAAGAAATAGTCATGCAAGAATGAAATAAATCTTTTTCAAGCTCCATCCCTCTTCAGTCCAACATCAAACCTCTATAAATTTGTTATACTTCTTTATGATACTTCCTTCCTAATCTATTCGATATTAGATCATTCGATAATTAGAATTTAATATTATAATAAAAAAAATACCTATACAAATCTCATAACTCAAGAAAAAATGGTCAAAGTCAACATCAAACATCTATCAATTTGTTATATATATATATATATAAATAAACGTTGCCTTTGATGCTTGCATGAAGTCTAACGCGTGAAACATTGTATAATATAGAGAATTGAACTTGAAACTAATGTCATGGGTCGACATAGGTTGACTTGGATACAAAGGACAAAAATCGAACTCTCACTAAAGATAAATTGGTCACACCAGCCTAAGCTAATCAGGTATGTAGCCTCAGTATCGGCATAATTATATTTGATGTTGACACGTGTCTTGGGGTTCTGCACTTGTCATATATATTGATATGTGTGAATTGTTTGTGGATCGAAATGCTTATGATATGTTATGTATATTGTAACGACTCGAAATTTTCTACTTAATTTAAGGTTGCTACTGTATACGTACCATAAACATTAAATGCGGAAGATTTTATTTAAATTCTATAAAACATAACTTTTATCTTAAAACACAGCCATGGACTTACGTGTTTCGAAAACATCTTTAAAACGACAAAACAAAAGACTAAATAAAATGAATAAGAGTTTAAGTTAAAAACAGCCTAGTCTAGCCTAAGTGTAAGAAAATAAATACTACTACCCTATGCATGTTCCATGGCACGGAGTTGCAATGTTGTCATCAACCGTACAAGAATGTCTTGCCTTAGCCTGAAAAATGTAGTACTTGAGTATTTAAAGAAATACTCAGTAAGTGACCCCACTATTGGGGTTAAATGCAACAATCATGCAATGAAATGATGGGACCTACCTTTCGTTTCGTTTCGTTTTTCCTACGGTGCTGTCCTAACGGATAATTTTGGACGTGTACCATATACTTTACACACAACCCATACGTGCGAGTATGGGCTCACCAGCTAGTTCGCACACCGCTAGGCAACTTTCCTTATCCGATGGGCATACTCTAGGAGCCCCTTATGCCAGAACCCGTTAGAACTAGTAACCGTCACGACAACACTATGTAAAGCATAACGAGCGTTGTCCTGCCATTGGATGTACGCGTTCGTACTCTCGTGATGGGATAAGGGTATCCCCCCAAATGCATGTGCACACATACTGCATGAGTCCCAAAACTTTTTCATTTTCAATATCCTTTAATACAACCCCGCGCTAGCATTATGTACATATCATATCATTTTTCATATCATTTCAGATATTGTTCATCATTCATGTCATATCGTTTCTCATTCTTCAGTTCTCAAATCATACATAATTCTAACGGGGTTATATTTCATGTCATTTATCGTAATTTCATGTCATTCATATCATGCTGTATACACACAATTTAAGAGACCTAACATAACGTTCTATGCTTTTAACATAACATTTCATCATATACACATCATACCATGACATATTGCATCACAATGTATCATATCATAAACAAGTCATAACGTAAATCGCAGTCATATCGTTTTCTAACTTATCATAGCTTTAACGTTCTTACACCTATCACAGACATCATTACGTAAACGTACCTCAATCATATCATCACAAGAACGTAACCTAACACTATCGTTCTATCAATCCTAACGCTATTGTTCTATCAATCTATCACAAACCTATCCCTTTCTACCCGTAGCCTAACCGTATTCTTCCATCAATCTCTCTTATTTATATCACTCCGGTATGTAACCGAACCTTAACGTTTCATGAACGTATTTTACTCCTATCATTACATTTCGTTTTGTGCATCCTTCTCGTATCCTATTTCAAACATATCATTGAACACATCGTACCGTAATTATTATCAAACAATTCACATATTATAACATATACATAACAAATAAGAAGCATATCGATCCATAGAAAATTCACACATATCAATATATATGACACGTGCAGAACCACGGGGCACGTGTCAACAACAAATATAACCATGCCGATAGTAAGGTCACTTACCTAGTTAGCTTAGGTTGATGCTCCGTCGTTATCCTTAATGAAAGTCCATTGAAATCCAAGTCAACCTATGCGAGCCCATGACATCAGTTTCAGGTTTGAACTCTACAACATTATTTCCCTAATTTACATTGGTCCATTGTTAAAAGTCTTGAAATGTTATATATCTATAATTATATTTTTATTAAAAATCTTATTTTTCATGATTACTATTGTATAAGAAAGTAGATACAGCTATTTCAAGTTATTCTGTGATTTACTACTCTCTGTATTTACCCTCTGTCTTTATCTTTCTCTCCATATTTAGTTTGTGGTTTTTAATTCCTTAACCTTCTTTTTTTTTTTTTTTATTGTTGCCTTTTAATTCTGTTCTCATGTATTACAAATTTCTGGTGGATCTCTCTTTCCAAATCTTTCCTTAAAAGAAAACAAAGATTTAATATAATATATACCTTTATGGATCAGATCTATCTTCACATAAAACTCCCATGTGAATCTCAACTCCGTAATGTCCATTCGCTTTTTTTTTTTTTCTTAAGTAAATCAGACGATTGTTGGTTTTCTGTCTCGGTATGATGGGTTGAGGAGAGATAATGATGGGAAGGGATGAGAGGTTAGTGGAGAGAAGTGTGGAAATGTTGTTTTTCTTATTTTATTTATTTATTATTATTATTTTAACCATTTTTTTATAATTATTTTTATTTGTTTATTTCTTTATTTATTTTTATGCTATTACATATATGCTATAATATTTGAATTGTATGAAAATATTTACGGTACGATGTGTTTAATGATATGTTTGAGATAGGGTACGAAAATGATGCACAAAACGTAATATAACGATAAAAGTAAGATATGTTCATAAAACATTACGGTTAGGTTACGTGTCAAAGTACTATGTATATGAGAGATTGATAAAATAATACGATTAGGTTATGGGTAGAAAGGGATAGGATTGTGATAGATTGATAGAACAATAGCGTTAGGATACGTTCCTGTGACGATATGACTAAGGTACGTTCTTGTAATGATATAACTGTGATATGTATAAGAACTTTAAGACTATGATAAGTTAGGGAACGATATGATCATGAAGTGTTTACGATATGATATGATTATGATACGACATATGAATTATATATATATATATATATATGTTGTCGTATGATATGAAAATGATATGAAATATGTTATAGTACGAGATATGTGATTAATTGACATGTATATGATGATATATTATGATGCAATATGTTATGGTATGATATGTATATGATGAAATGTTATGCTAAAAGCATGAAACGTTCTGTTATGTCTCCTAAATTGTTTGTATACGACATGATATGAATAACATGAAATCACGATAAATGACATGAAATATAACCCCGTTAGAATTATGTATGATATGAGAAATGATATGATCTGAGGACTGAAAAATGAGAAATGATATGATATGAATGAGAAATGATAGCGGGGTTATATTTAATAGTGTTGAAAACGGAAAAATATTGGGACCTCATGTATTATGTGTGTTCAAGCATTGGGAGATACCTCTATTCCATCACGAGGGTACGAATACGTATACCACTAGGCAAGTAAAGTATCATACTGTTTTACATAATGCTGTCGTGACGGTTACTAATTCTAATGGGTGTCTGGTATAAGGAGCTACCAGAGCAGGCTCGCCCGACCCCAGTGGTGTGCGAACTGTGGTGAGCCCATACTCGCATATATGGACTGTGTGTAGAGTATATGGTACACATCTAAGCTGCTCATTAGGATAATGTCGTAGGAAAATAGACTGATATGCTAGGTCCCGTCATTGCATTCGCATGTTCTTGCATTTAACCACGACAGTGGGATTACTTACTGAATATTTTTTAAAATACTCCACGTGCTACCTCTATTTCAGGTTAAGTCAATGCATTCCTGTACGGCTAACGACTACATCGCAACTCGAGATCATGGCACATGCATACGGTAGTATTATTTTCTTAGACTTAGGATAGAATAGGATGTTTTGAATTTAAACGTTTATCTATTTTATTTAGTTTTGTTGTGTCATTTTTTAAAGGTGTTTTCAAAACAACTAAGTCCATGGTTGTGTTTTAAGATGAAGATGACGGTTTATGAAAGTTCAAATGAAGTATTTTCGCATTCAGTGTTTATGATATGTATACAGTGTCGACCTTAAATTAAATAGAAAATTTCGGGTTGTTACAAGATATGCATTGTTGAAATCAGTAGCCATTCTAACTTTTTCATGTAATACTTATAAGGATGGTCATGAAAAGCTGAATGCAAGCATATCTTACCTTATTTTATTAGGATTAGGACTTTAAGAGATCAAACATTCATGATAATGCTTTGTGTGCGATAAAAAATTTGGAGAATGCCCATAGGATGAGATTTCTATTGTATATATTAGTTTGATGCTTAGAAAGGCCGAGACATATTGTGATTTGTTCTCTGGGTGATTGATAGATGTTATCTCACCAGCTGAGCTAGCATGGACGTTTAGATAGTGTATTTTGTACTTTAAGTGATTGATAAGACTATCTCCCTAACCAAGCATGTATTGAAATGTAGGATAGTTCTAGGGGATTACTTGTGTGTTCTCCTTGTAGAGCATAGTTACCTGCATTGAGTTAAGGCTACAACTCTAGAGCTAGGCCAGTTAAATGATGACCTTGGTATAGGCACCTCCGGTATACCAAGCACCAAGGGATGTAGTCACTAGTACTCCCACACTAAGAAAACTCAAGGAGTAAGCATGGAGAGTCCTAGAGTAGAGAGTCTACGTCTTGAGTCACCTAAACGCCCTAGGAACTGAATGGATCTCCAAGTCACTTAAGAATTACTAAGGTATTATCAACGTGAACAGTGTCGTCAGAGTCTTCGTCACCCAATGCACTTGAGTACCCTGACAGAATTATCAACGACCTAGGATGAATCAAATAGCGACCACTACCAAACGATAGGTCCATGGGAGAGGTACCGTCGAGCTAGGCATAAACCAGTTAGGGTAGTCCGCCGAGGCAACTAGTGAAGGTGTTAATATAACACATGCGAAAGAAATTTGGATCTTAGGCATTTTTAGAACATCAATTATAGTAAATAACTAGCATGTTCATAAGTATTAAAACTTAATGAGTTTGAATACTAACCTTTTGTAGTTCAAATTCCTTTTTCCTCACGAACCAGTTTCAAACCACCACTGTCTTCTCCACTATCCTCCGGCCTTAGAACGGGATTGTGGAACCCGGTGAGTGACTAAACTTGGGAGGGATTTTGTATATATGAAGAGAGTGTTTGTGAGAGATTTTTCTCAAGGTTTTTCACCAACAAGAAGACATTTCATGTATTATGATCGCTCTATTTATAGAGTCATGTTTGCATGTTCATGCAAATTTGAGATCACCAAATTTTGACACTCAAAATTCTATTCAAATGTTTGGGATTAATTGGCAAGCATGCATGCTTGAGGTAACCAAATTTCGACACTTAAAATTCCACTCAAATTTGTGGGGTTTATTTGGCAAGCATGCAAGTTTGGTTAAACCAAATTTTGACACCTCAAAATTCCACTAACATGTATTTTTCCATTAAATGGAGTCTAACATGTTGACTTTTTTCATTTTGATTCAACAATCAATTTGAATTATTAATTTCAAATTAAAGTAATATTAAATGATTAATTAAACTATTTAATTAATATTTAATATTAACTCAAATGACAATCCCAATTAATTCCAATTAATTCTGACACATATTTGATTAAGATATTAAATCTTATTTAAATATCTCAGATTCTCTCTTTTTGTTTAATTCATAAATAAAACAAAAATGCGGTTAAATATATCATATATATGTAGCGTATTCTCCCTAATTTGAATTCGAACACTTCGAACTCACTCGTCACACTATTCTATGGTTTAATCCGATATGAGCTAGCAGAGGGACCTAATGGACCAATAGATCATGGGCTCCAACGATCCAAGATTAACTGGTTAAACTCATTAACCTTATTAACCAACATTCGTTAACTACTAGGACATTCTACTATAGCCTAGTAGTTGCATTCCCCTCACTATAGATATATTTCTGTCTATTTGATATAACCATGATTAGTAAGTCGATCCTTCACAGGTTGTTCGTAACTAGAGTTGGGTCAATTTACCGTTTTACCCCTGAAGTTACTTCTTGTTTCTTATGTCTCACTAATCCTCTAATGAACAATTGGTTTGTGGTCCAACCAGTAAACCGGATCCCTCTCAGGCCAATGAGAGGGTGGGGCCCCTTGTTCAAGACCTGGAGTCAGTACTTAAGGGAACTACCTCTCTTCTATCCCTAAAAGTGGGTAGAAGTGAATTCCATCTTGCACCCCACGTCCCCAGCCATTTACCCAGTCTTACCCCTGAAATAGGAGGCTTATTGAGTTGGGGAACTTGAGCCACTCTCACCCATGCAAATATAAGGATAATTTCGAATAATCAGGAGTTCATGGTTAGCTTAGGATTAAGATCAAGTTACCTAGGTCATCGAATGAAAAGAAAATCAGTCTCAACAGTAAACGACATTATAAAGTGAGAGTGATTTTCTTCATGGTCCGATCTTATGCAATACTCATTGCATAGGACGCCCCCACTCACATGTCTCCACATGTACAATTTTAGTGATCACATTGTTTATATCACATACAAAAGTGGGTCGCATCCATAGTGTCCCTAGAATAAGGTACTCAACCTTATTCTTATACTATAGATCATTTTGACTATATACTTGAACTTGATCAACTCTTATGTCTCTACATATAGTTCAAGTAATCATACTATAGCCAGAGTGTTCTTAGTTTATTGGATTTAGATTAATGATCGTAAAGTTCACTCTATTCAATAACAATCTTTACTAAATAAACAACAATAATAACTTTATTAAAAATAGAATATGTTTTTGTTTACAAATTATGAGTTTTAGGACATAAAACCCAACAACTAGGTAGCATCACCTTGTCCAAATATCCAGAGGTCTATTAAACAAGACCTATGTGTTGTAAACCGATTATCAGAGAGGGCAAAGGAGAACACAGGTGAACGTGGTACTTGGCCAACACACGAGGGTCGCACTCCCCAAATTTAGAATGACTTTATGGGTCAGTTGCAGAGTCACCAACCAATCTTCCAATAATGATGTTCAGACTAGAAGATATCATATTGTCCCACCATATATATATTTTTTTTTCTTGGAGTAGCACCTTAGAGTGGGAGGCTGGTCATAAACTTCCTAGTAAAGTAAGTTGCCTTAGTATAAGCACAGGAAGGTTTTGTAACCTACCTTGATCACAAAGGTAAGAGTTGGACTAGAAAACCCCTCCCCAGAGCCTTAGATAGCTTTAAAGGTTAGGCCCAAATTTTCAAGAGCCCAGAAAAATACTCTTGGATACACCGTAGGTTAAGGATGTGATGAGACCCTACAGGTTACTTACTCACTATTTTTATGCTCGCCAATTTTCCTATTTTTTCAGTTGTTCGTAAGTAGTTAGATCACGATGGAAGCATTCGAGAGAAACGCGTTCAGGGGCGGGTCATCCCACAGCGTCAGTCTATCTATGTATTTTTGGTGTTTATATTTGGTTTGAGATTCTTTCCCGAACCTATTCTCGGTTTGTAATAAACTTGAACAACATTGTCTAGGGATTAGATTTCAATTAGTTTCTTTTTTAGGGTGTTATTTATTTTAATTTGATTTAAGTTTAGGTGTAAGCCTACTCAACCTTTATGTTGTACACGAGCTATTTACTGCGTATATTTATATTCTCACTTGCTTTATACATGGAACTTGAGTACCGATTAACGATGATGGCGTGAAGGAGGTAGTACAATATGGAGTCTATTTAGTTATATGAGTTTCGAACAAATTCTATAGTCTTTGCGAACAAAATCGAGAGGTTGTATGAAGTTTTTTTCACTCATCTACTTAGAGATATGGGGTTGATGTAATACACAACATTCAAATTAGATTAAACACACAAATTTTTTTAAAAAAAATATACGTCTTTTTTGGGTAAACGAATAAAGAGAAATAACATCTTTTTAAAGAGCAAAGAACCATATTCTTATCAAACTAAAATTTAAGTATATCAATTAAAAGAAGATAATCTCCGTCTCTAAAATTTTGGGGAATTTATAGTTAAATTGAAGTATATCAAAGAAATTATGGATTTAATTTTACAAGGATTGGGTGTGAACCTTTTAAGTGATATAAACAATGAAGAACATCAATCTTTAAGTATAAAAATGTTGAGTCAAAGAACCATATTCCAAAAGAAGAGTATTAATGTAAATAAAAAGAATATTAATGGGATAAGTGTGGATGTTCTTAAAAGCATCAATCTTATCCTTTTAAACTTTGATTCCATATTAAATGAGTTCTATAAATACCCACAGCTTCTAACCAAACAAAACCACAGCAAAGAAATACAAAGTTTCCTTATACTACATATCACACTACGCCATGAGTGTTGCAGTCAAGGTTTGCGGCCAAGTACCCGCTGTGGAGAAGTGGATTAAAATCCCCGATGTTAGTGGCCACTGCGTGCAAGAGGTCGCAAAGCTTGCGGTGGAACAGTTCAACGTTCAACATGGACACAGTCTTAAATACGATAGCATTCATGAAGGTTGGTATTGTGAACTGGGTCAAAACAACCTAAAGTACCGTCTTCATATTAGGGCGATAGACTTTCTTCAACGCTCTCTCTTGTATGAAGCACTTGTGTTCGAAGAGAAACCTAAGCTTGAAAGAATCAGAAAGTTGATATCTTTCCTCTATTTGTTGAATGGTGGACACTATGTTGGGCCGGTGGATCCACCCCAAGTGGAGAAGTGGATTAAAATTCCTGATCTTCGAGTGCCATTTGTGCCAGAAGTATCAAAGTTTGCAATAGATGAGTACAATAAAGGTGGAGAAGGCTTAAAATACGTTGAAATCTACGACGGTTGGTATGCAGAGATGGGTCAAGACAACATAAAGTTTCGCCTTCATGTTAAGGCGAAAGACTGCTTGGGACGTTTGCGCAACTACGAGGCTATTGTTCTTGTTAAGCAGTTTTTGTCGAAGAAAATCAAGATTCTCGAATCTTTTAAGGTTTTGGATCAAGGAAAGGTTTCGCCTGGTTGGAACCAAATACCAGATGTTAAGGAGCTTGGCTTGCAAGTGGTTATAAAGTTTATTGTGGAACAGATCAAAATTAAATTTGGAGATAGTTTGAAATTTGAAATCGTTTATGAAGGTTGGTATTTTGAGTTGTGCCCAAACAGCCTAAAGTACCGTTTCCATGTTAAGGTGATAGACTTTTTGGGGCGTTCTCTCAAATTTGAGATTATTATAATCGAGGAGAGACGTGTCCTTCTAAGAATCTGGAAGCTGGACTCTATCATTGTCATAGTATCTCCTGAACCTCAAGAGAAGAAGTGGATAAAAATTCCTAATGTTCAGGTGCCATTAGTGCAAGAGTTAGCAAAGTTTGCCGTGGATGAGCATAACAAAAACGGAGATGGCCTAAAGTACATTGAAGTCTACGAAGGCTGGTTTATGGACCTGGGTCATGATAACATAAAGTTTCGTCTTCATCTTAAGGCGAAAGACTGGTTGGGACGTATACGCAACTATGAGGCTGTTGTGCTTGTTGAGCACTTTTGGTCCAAGAGAATCAAGATTCTCGAATCTTTCAAGTTATGCGGTCCTCTCGTTTTTGAACCAAAGTGGATTCAAATACCTAATCTTAAGGAGCTTGGCTTGCAAGTGGTTATAAAGTTTATTGTGGAACAGATCAAAATTAAATTTGGAGATAGTTTGAAATTTGAAATCGTTTATGAAGGTTGGTATTTTGGGTTGTGCCCAAACAGCCTAAAGTACCGTTTCCATGTTAAGGTGATAGACTTTTTGGGTCGTCCTCTCAAATTTGAGGTTGTTATTATCGAGGAGATACGTGACCATCTAAGAATATGGAAGCTGGACTCTATCATTGCCATAGTATCTCCTGAACCTCAAGAGAAGAAGTGGATAAAAATTCCTAATGTTCAGGTGCCATTAGTGCAAGAGTTAGCAAAGTTTGCCGTGGATGAGCATAATAAAAACGGAGATGGCCTAAAGTACATTGAAGTCTACGAAGGCTGGTTTATGGACCTGGGTCATGATAACATAAAGTTTCGTCTTCATCTCAAGGCGAAAGACTGGTTGGGACGTATACGCAACTATGAGGCCGTTGTGCTTGTCGAACACTTTTGGTCCAAGAGAATCAAAATTCTCGAATCTTTCAAGTTTTGCGGTCCTCTCGTTTTTGAACCGAAGTGGATTCAAATCCCTAATCTTAAGGAGCCCGGCTTTCAAGTGGTTATAAACTTTATAGTGGAGCAACTCAAAATTATACTTGGAGATTGTTTGAAATTCCATAGCATTTATGAAGGTTGGTATTTTGAATTGTGCCCAATTAGCCTAAAGTTCCGTTTGCATATCAAGGCGATAGACTTTCTGGGACGGTGTCTCAATTATGAAATTATTATTATCGAAGAGAAACGAATTTTCAAGCTGGAATCTATCATCGTCATATTGTCTCCTGGACACTGCGTTGGGCCGGTGGATCCACCCAAGGTCGAGAAGTGGATTAAAATCAGTAATCTTCAGTTTGCATTCCTACAAGAGGTATCAAAGTTTGCGTTGGATGACTTCAACGTTAAATCTGGAGATAGCCTCAGATTTGATGGCATTTACGATGGTTGGTATATGGAGATGGGTCAGGACAACATAAAGTTTCGTATTCATTTAAGGGCAAAAGACTGTCTGAGTCGTGTGCACCACTATGAAGCTTATGTGTATGTAAAGCAGTTTCTCAGTAAAAGAATCAAGATCGTCGAATCTTTTAAGCTTATCGAAAGGAAGTGTTGAAACTCCCCTTTGTATTTTGTAACATGCGATAGTTACAAAAAAAATCGTGTTTGGCTATCTATAAAGAAATAGTCATGCAAGAATGAAATAAATCTTTTTCAAGCTACATCCCTCTTCAGTCCAACATCAAACCTCTATAAATTTGTTATACTTCTTTATGATACTTCCTTCCTAATCTATTCGATATTAGATCATTCGACAATTAGAATTTAATATTATAATAAAAAAATACCTATACAAATCTCATAACTCAAGAAAAAATGGTCAAAGTCAACATCAAACATCTATCAATTTGTTATATATATATATATAAATAAACGTTGCCTTTGATGCTTGCATGAAGTCTAACGCGTGAAACATTGTATAATATAGAGAATTGAACTTGAAACTAATGTCATGGGTCGACATAGGTTGACTTGGATACAAAGGACAAAAATCGAACTCTCACTAAGGATAAATTGGTTACACCAGCCTAAGCTAATTAGGTATGTAGCCTTAGTATCAGCATAATTATATTTGATGTTGACACGTGTCTTGGGGTTCTACACTTTTCATATATATTGATATATGTGAATTGTTTTTGGATCCAAAATGCTTATGTTATGTTATGTATATGTTATAATATGTGAATTGTATGATAATACTTACGGCACGATGTGTTTAATGATATGTTTGAGACAGGGTACGAGAAGGAAGCACAAAACGTAATGTAAAAATAGAAGTAAGAAATGTTCATAAAACGTTAGAGTTAGATTATGTGTCAAAGTACTATGTATATGAGAGGTTGATAAAATAATACAATTAGGTTATTGGTAGAAAGGGATAAGATTGTGATAGATTGATAGAAAAATAGCGTTAGGATACATTCCTGTGACATGTGATATGTATAAGAACTTTAAGACTATGATAAGTTAGGGAACGATATGACCACGAAGTGTCTACGATATGATATTATTATGACACGACATATGAATTATATATATATATATATATATGTTGTCGTATGATATGAAAATGATATGAAATATGTTATGGTACGAGATATGTGATTAATTGACATGTTTATGATATGATATATTGTGATGCAATATGTTATGGTATGATATGTATATGATGAAATGTTATGCTAAAAGCATGGAACGTTCTGTTATGTCTCCTAAATTGTGTGTATACGACATGATATGAATAACATGAAATCACGATAAATGACATGAAATATAACCCCGTTAGAATTATGTATGATATGAGAAATGATATGATATGAGGACTGAAAAATGAGAATGATATGATATGAATGAGAAATGATAGCGGGGTTATATTTAATAGTGTTGAAAACGGAAAAATATTGGGACCTCATGCATTATGTGTGTTCAAGTATTGGGGGATACCTCTATTCCATCACGAGGGTACGAATACGTATACCACTAGGCAGGTAAAGTATCATTATGTTTTACATAATATTGTCGTGACGGTTACTAATTCTAATGGGTGTCCGGTATAAGGAGCTACTAGAGCAGGCTCGCCCGGCCCCAGTGGTGTGCGAACTGTGGTGAGCCTATACTCGCATATATGGGATGTGTGTAAAGTATATGGTACACATCCAAGCTGCCTATAAGGATAGTGTCGTAGGAAAATAGACTGATATGATAGGTCCCGTCATTACATTCGCATTTTCTTAGTCTGGGAGCACCAGGGTCTAGACCCTCTGACTGTCGCTCATGATCCTAAAGTGCTCAATCTACTCGAGGTGTCCTAACTTAGGTCATTGTCTAGCCAACCTAACTCTAACGCCCTACCTCTATTTAGACTCCAAAATTAGAGTTATATCCGGTCTTTTTGTAGTCAATTATGCACTCATAAAACTCTTTTCTCATTATTTGCTCAATTTGTTCTAATTAACAAGAATGAAATAGGTCATTGTGGTTCTACATGAAAAGAACATCAATTTGCATAAATCGAGCTTAATTGTATGTTTAATTGAGTTATTTGGTAAAATTCCAGAATATTTATGGTTCTGGCAAATTTGGAAACAACACTACTGGCAAATCTTGAAACAAATTGCTGACCTTGATGTTGGAGCAATTCGGAAAGCAAACTTTTCGGGGATGACATGAAAATTTTAATGCACATCAATCATCCACGTGGGTAATTGTCTACCCAATTAGGAACATCGACGATTTATTCCTATTCAACCATAAATGGGAAGCCACGCACAATATAAAAAGGAAAAAGGATTCACAAGAGGGAGAGCCACATTTTGGGAAGCAAAATTCGAATTAGACCGCAGCAGCCTCTGCTACTGTGAATTGCTGTGAAATCAGAGAAGAAGAAGAAGAACCCTAATCCCTGTGACAGCCGAAGGAAAAGAAGACCAAAAAGAATTGATTAAGGCAAAGAGGTGGACGTGAGAGCTCAAGAGAATGGATCTTCCATTAAAAAAACAACAAAAAAGCTTCATAACTCTCTAATTCCTTACTCCCTTTTCTTATTCTATCAATTTAATATGTTTGAGATGTGGGTTTCTCTGTTTAATTCAGTTTGTATAGAGAGCTCAACTTACGAGAGTATTTTATGTAGTTTAAGTATGTTGACGGTGTGAATTTAGTTTATTAAAGAGTTGTTGTTAATGATTTACATGTTTGTTTAGTTGGTCACTTTACATATATAGTTATTCTCTTATTCGGAAGAAGAGAGGGAACAATAAAATTCTCTTTAATACTCTAGTTTCATTGCAATGATACTCGAAGATAATAGAAGGGTTACAAATAATTCTTCTCCTAGAGCCTTGCTAATAGAAATTAAAAATCTATTATGGAAGTAATCACGAGGCATATCTTAACCATTTATCTATTTAATCTCTCCTACTCAAACTTTCCTTATTATTGTTGATTTTCTCCATTAATATTGTTTAATTAGTTTAAAATCACCCACACCCGTTTAAATGTTATCCAAAAACTCACTTAATTTCGAACAAAAAAAAAAAAACTAACAAAAAAGATTGGTTCTACGTGGAATCGATAATTTACTTATTACTTGTTACTTGTGATAGTGTATATTTGCACTTATTTTTGTGAATTGTACATCATTTTATTATATACATCCACAAGCGATCAACAAATAAACCCGCTCCATAGGAGAACACACAGTCAAACACCTGGTGCTAACATATATTATATCATACGCACGTATAAGCAAAAAAAGATCAACGAGAAGATAACATTCATCAATCACCCGAAGCACAAATCGCAATAGTCCATCCTCCTTTCTAACACGGTGGAAATTATATAAAACATCATTCATCACAAATCTAGTCAGGGGCATTTTTATAATTTCTTACATTATGCAAACTAGACTCATCCAGATTGTCCAACTCATATTCTAGTCAGGCATATTTTCACTCTAGCCTTGCATAATACATAAAACAACATGGTTCTCAAAAATCTCAACCTAGGACATAATAGTAATTTTTCAAAAACATACATATAGTACATACTTATACAAAAACACTCTTCCGAATTTCTTAACATGCATTATCTATCTAAGGTAAAGAATTCTTGCACGCTAGCATGTTCTAGTGATACCTACAAGTATTGTTTGCCTAAACTTCGTGTGATTACTTATATGGATGACACGTGTCTTCTCGAAATAGCTTTTCTGCGTGTTAAGAGCTCCGAAATTTCTGAAATCTCTCTCTCACATGTTGTCACCTACACATTCAACTCGTTCGTCAAAATTTCAAATTTTCAAACAAGTTTTCAATTCGAATTTTCATAGCTTTCTCTACATCACTCGAATTTACTTATTTTCCTCCTTCTTTTGTAAAACTTATACAAAATTTCTCTAATATCAACATACTAAAAATTAAGAACTTAATTACAATTAAAACTCTCAAATTCAAAGGAAAATCAAAATCAAGAACTCGAAAATCATATCTTTCATTATTCCTCGTTTCTTTACGAAGAGTGACTCAAAATCCCAAAATGATTACCCTAAGACCACTGATTCTTGTGAAGAAGATTCAGCAAAAGTATGACTCTAACTAACCCTCATTCAAGAATCCCTAAACTCTCCTCTTGAAATTCAATCTCTAAAACCTCGATCAAATTTCAAAACTTTGACATAAAAGAAAAAAATTAGATTTTTAATTTTTTGTCGGGTGTTACAAATTTTCTCCTCCTTAAAATCTTCCATACTTGAAAGTTGTTTATGCCTGATTCCCAAAGGTAGGACGTCCTCTTGTCAAATTTTCTTGTCTAAGTTGCTACCTTGTCTCGATTGTAACTCTATTGAACCGTGACTATGGACGTCCGTTCGTTGCACATTCAGATGTGGTTGATGCAACTGTACTACACCTTACTCACCTTTCGGGGTGCTCCTAAAGCTACCCCTCTCGTTTGTGATGTTTCACCCTCCCTTGGTTTAAAGGTCACTACTAGGTCGTTGCCATCCATTAGGGTGTGATTACAATCACATAAATTCTATAGGCTTTAACCCAAGTGCACATGTCCATCTTCCTAGCATCACATAGCTTATGCATAAATTGAGGAAGCCTAGGCAATCTCAAGTCGAAGATATATTGGTTGGAACATGCAATAATGAAGTGGTTCATCTTCATCATCTCAATACTATCAAACTCGGGCACAAACCTTATCAGTCTGTTGGGCACCAAATCGTATTTCTTGACCGTCTTCACATCTTATTTTGTTTTACGAAGGCTACTTAATTCTTGAGGCTGACTACCACTGGGTAGTACTTTGTTAGGTAGACACTTTTGAATTGGAACTGCGTCACTAGTCCTTTCTCATTGTCGAGTATCTTCAAGGCACTCTTCTACTAAAAGTGTGTCATACTTCTCTCAGCATGTACCTGACACAATGTACTCGATACCATAAAGGGTAGCTTAAAGATTGTAAGGTTGTCTCTATAGCCTCCAACATGTTTTTGTTACGTCTATGATCCCCTAACTCAATACCATGTGACCACTACCAACAACTAAAACTATTCCGTTCGAGAACCTTGGCGTATAACTATTGTGCTCATATCACCATCAGAACTCTCCTCAAATGTTTCTTGTGAACTATCTCCATCTTGGTGTACGCTGGTATATCGTCAAAGACGACTATGATGACGGTATCGAAAAAGTCTCACGATCACTTAGTTCATCTGATCCTTAAACTTTGTAGGACATTGATAAGGTCAAAGGACAGCGATAATCTTTCTTTACCCATGACGGCTCCTGAAAGAAATCCTAAGTTTGTCCTTTTCCATAATCCTCAAGGGGAGGTAAGCTGATCTTGCCAAGACCCTTATGATCCTCAATGTCTCACCAAAAATAGACTTGTAATTCCTCCTCAAGTGGCCAACTCAGACCCTTCTTCATAAAGTGAAGCACTATCACATAGGTAGAACATCACATGCTAGTACATCCTAGCAATCTATATAAGTATTGTTTGAGAAAAGTCTAAATAGCTATTTAGATAAATGAAACATATCTTTCGGATCTAACTTTTTTTTGTGTTAAAAACTCTAATTTTTTTTTAAAAAATTAAATAGTAGGTCCTAATTCAAGTAAAATTTAGGTTGATATTGAAATCAAAGCGAAAAACTGTTAAATGAAGGTCGAAGGGGGAAAAGGAGCTCACCACGTGCCTAGACAATCTCCCATGTGCATGTACATACACGTCTAAGGGGAGGAGCAAGCACTCACGACACAATACTTGGCACATGTTGAATCCCACTTCCATGTCAAGTCGAGTCGATTTGGTGGCATGGGCCAACAGTAGTGGTTCAGGTCGAGCGTAGTGGTTTAGATGCGGACATTCAGGTCGAGCATATTAGGTCGGATAAAGACATTTGGGGCAAGGGAGAGTGCATTAAATCCTCCAACACACGATAAGTGTTACAACCTCACTGAGAGAAAGTAGGTTGTGACCGCCACACGCAAGAAAGACAAAGGGCAACCATCAAGTGACACTCATCTGGACACCTAAGGGTCAAGATTGAGAAGTGACATGATCGACTGAAAAGGACGGTGCATCATCCAACACACCAAGAGTGTGTATTGAAGCTAAATCAAGGTAGACATAAGGTTCTAGAGAACGAGGTAACACGAGTGTCGAAGACAAACTCGAAGAGGGCTGAGTAGAGCCCCAAGCCATAACCTCAGAAGTTGGGGTTTCGATTTGAGTTTCGACATGGGGCTATATGAGAGATGGAAGATCACAAAATTTGGTGTCAATCGGATCCCGACGAACTATGCACAAGGACGTATGTCCACTTGCCAAAATGACGTCTACACGAGAAGAATTGAAAATGCCTCAAAATCTACTATAACGAGGTATGATGTTGGCTCTCCCTTAGCTTTAAGCCCTGTGACCTAAGCGAGCTACCTTATCGCACATGCTTGTATCATAGCATGAATGAGCGTCTCGGGCATCTTCATTTGAAAAGGGTCTTTCAAGGACAATACCGGACGACACGGATGTGTCGGTATTGTGCCCCACCCCATGTGTCTGAGGCTGGATTATGCACTCGTTATCTTGAACATATGTCGTAAATGGTTTAGCATAGACACGGGAGAGTCCAATGCTTGAAAAAACTCAAATGGATGGATGTTTGGGATGCCCCCAATGAGATGATTGACACATGGGTCAGTTCTCAATGGACGTGTCTAAGTAAAGCAAGATGGTCGAGCTGTCTTGAGACATGGGATTGCTTCACGATGCATGAGTCGTGTTGTTGGAAACCAAGATGACAATGAGATGTGACATTGTTGTGTCACACATGATTAGAGCGTCATGTGTGGCCACAAGCTTGGATTTAGTACAAGTTGTGTTTGGTTGGCAAAGGCAAACCTCGTCGACAGTCCGATGAAGCCAAAGGATGAGCAAAAAATGTAAATTGGGCTTGAGTCTCCCTTAAAACTTGTCATGAACATGTCAAGATTAAAACGTTACATGGTTGAAGATGTATGACCGTGACGACGCAAATCCTAATCTGTAGCAGACATTTCTTGGCCAGTTGTGCAACACCGCTCCTTGCTTGACGTGTGGTCCTATCTTTGCCTGACACGTGTTCCTTCTTCCTCAACCCTACACAAATTCAAGAATTCCACGAATATTTTTTTAATAGTTTTCTATTTTCGGAGAGGGGTAGAGTTTTAATCCATCTTTTTAACAAAATTATTTTATGCAATTTTTTAAATGCATAGAGAATTAAATGCTTTCAAGTAGACTCAAAGTACTTAAATTTAATGTTCTTGACGTTCATCGAAACTTCGCCTTTTTATCCGATTCAACTCTGGTTTTCTTGAAGTAAATTGTGCGAAAACCTTTCAAGGACAACATTGTGTTTTTTTGTTGTTAATCTATCCGTCCACGTTGTGATCAAATCAGGTGGTGAGATTTAAGATTAAATAAAAGACCCTTTTATTTCTCTTTAGGGGAGACCCAATTACAAATTTGATCCTAATATATTAATAAATTAATTTCAAATTTAGTCTTAAACTTAAAAAAGTAGATTTATGTTGCATTAGGTAAAGATTTATATTCCTTAAATAATCATCGATCATCAGTGTGATGAAATAGTCAATGGTCGATGTTATTTGGCTTGCCTTTTACATTCACCAAATTTGGCTTGCCTTGCCTTTTACATTTACCAAACACTTGGATCGTAATATGTAAAACAAAGTACATTAGATTCTACCATCTTGAATTATATGAGTAATTTGTTAACATTTTAATGCATGAATTGTGCATTATTTTAGCTAAACATGTTTTCAAACCCTTTTACATACAAATAAGATTGATGACTTGTTTTATGAGTTGCTGGTTGCAACAAATTTTTTCAAGATTGTAATTGGAATATCAACCGACGAGGATTGAAGAGAAGGATATTCGCAGGAGGGTATTCTAAACAAGGTATGGCCATTATGAGCTTACTAGGATGTCCTTAAGATTGATGAATAAACCAACCGTGTTTATGGACCTAATGAATAGAGTGTTCAAGGAATATCTTACCAGGTTTGCAATTGTGTTCATAGGTAATATTATGATACAATTTAAGATCAAGTGTGAATTTTGGCATGAGTTGGTAGCTTTCCTCGAGCATGTACTAACACGAGGAGGTGTTACCATGGACCCGACCAAGATTGAAGTAGTAACATATTGATCTCGTCTGACCACTATTTGTAACGGCCCATATCTACCGCTAGCAAATATTGTCCTCATTGAACTTCTCTTTTAGGTTTACCCTCAAAGCTTTAAAACGCGTCTACTAGGAAAATGTTTTCACACCCTTAGGTGTTTTGTTTTCCTCCCCAACCAATGTGAAATATCACAATCCACCCCTCTTCAAGGCCCAGTGTCCTCGCTGGTGCTCGTCCTTTCTCCAATCGATGTGGGACCCTGCCAAATCCACCTCCCTTTGGGGCCCAGCGTCCTTACTGACACATCGCCTCGTGTCTACCTCCTTTGGGGAACAACATTCTCGCTGGCACATAGTCTGGTGTCTGGCTCTGATATCATTTGTAACAGTCCAAGTCCACCACCAGTAGATATTGTCCTCTATGGGCTTTCCCTTTTGAGCTTCCTCTCAAGGCTTTAAAACGCGTATGCTAGGGAAAGGTTTCACACCCTTATAAATGGTGTTTTGTTCTCCTCCCAACCTAGATAGGATATCACAGTACATAGTTTTCAACACGATACTATATTTTTTACCAGATTCCTCTAAGATAGTTGACCCTCTTACTCAGTTGACTAAGAAGGGGAGTGCATTCATCGAGTAAAGATTATCGAGTAAAGATTATTTTCAGAAACTCAAACAAAGATTGGTTACAAACCCAATTCTCATTGTGCCAATACAAACAAGAGAATCCTTCGAGAGGGAACTTGGATGCGTTTTAATGCAGCTTACGCATCTCATCAGTTGAAGGACTATGAGCACAACTCTTTGGAGTTTACGGTGGTAGTGTTCACTAGAAATTTGGAGGCATTGTCTGTATTGCAAGAAGACTCAAGTCTTTACAAATCATAAAAGTCTAAAGTACCTCTTCACTGACTCACTCACCTGAAAGTAGTAAAAGATTATGATCTAGACATTAGTACCATCAAGAAAATGCGAATGTTGTGGCAGATGCATTGAGTAGGAAGTTGGGACATACCTTAGCATTGATCATCGAGCAAGTTTCCATTCATACAGGCATGGAACGTGCTTGGATAGTTGTGTTGATGGGAGTAGTTAAACCGCAGTTAGCTAGATTAACAGAGCAGCCTACATTGAGACAAAGAATTGCTAAATAGATGGAACCATACATGTTGGCATTGGTTAAAGAATGAAAAAGGAAATGTTTCTCCTTAGTTGCAGATGAAGGAATTCCATGGAAAGAACAATTGTGTGCCGGAAAATGTTGAACTCTAGGAGGAAATACCAACAAAGACTCGAAACTCACAACTTTCGGTACATTCTTGTAACACTCAGATGTATCAAGACTTGAAAGAAGTACTTTTAGCGGCGGAGTAGGAAGGTTAGACAAAAGACAGTAGGTTTATTACAACCTCTAAAATATAGTAGATTTTGTTATAGGATTTTCTAAAAAATGCTAAGGCCATACCGTGATATGAGTCATAATTGATCGACTTACCAAATCGACGCACTTCATTCTTAGGAATGTCGATGTATCAAACATTGGAAGATATAGCCATCTACATCTTATGAAATTTTCTTATAATAACAATTACCAACAATCAGTATGACACCGTTCACATATTCCTGTTGGTGAGGAAGCAAGTGGCGGCCACAGGTGGCTGCGATGGAGTGAGGAGCTACAAACTCAACCTCCATGTTCGATAACTCTTCAGAGACAGAAGCTGAGTTTTTTTATCAAAGAGTTGCTTGCAAGTTGGAAAGGCAGACCCTAAGCCTTCAGATTCACAGTGTTTAAGAACATTTGTTCATTTCCTTTGCAGAAATGTTCCTGTGGGAACTGCATTCTCCCTTACCTGTCAATATGAGCAACATACGATTACAACATCTGTAAAGCAGAGGAGACGATATTTTCGAACATTTTTCGAACATTTTTCTCACTAACCCATCTTTGAAAACATGAATTAATATCAGTTTTATGAATTTATAAGCAGCAACACATTATCAAGAACATCCAAATGCCCTGAGCATATTTAACAACATGAAAATTCTTCTGATGGGCAATGTGAGATAGGCAAGATAAATGTAGAATGAAAGGGAAGGACTATGCAGCAAGCAGATGAAAGAGCATCTGAACAAACAAAATAAAAATAATCGAACACGTGTTCAACATTTGATTAAAAACCTTAATGGATGGAGCCAATAATTATGAATACCATGAGAAATAATTTTTCAAACGATGCAACCAAATAAAGTTTTAGAATAGTACTGCCAAATCAGGATGAAACTTGGAATTATAGGCCCAAAAAGAATACTGCTTGAATGCAAAACAATTTGCTAGCTAGTAACTGGCACCGTAATCCTAGTCAATGGTTATGAATTTCCCAAATCTAAGCTTCAAATGTTGGGAAATCTCACGTCATTGCAAGCACTATTGAATCTTCCCATCAATTCCCTTTGAATCTCTTATAGAATCTATCCCCAAAAGTAGTGGCAACAAAAATTCATCACCACAGTAAAATGGAAGCAAAAAGATCGCTTTGTTTAGTACTTCTTTGGTGTCAAGGTTATTTTATATAATAAGCGTTGTCAAGAAAATGCAGAGCTTCAAAATCCTTTTACCAAATCACATGCACAATAAGACACTAAATCAGGATAAATAATAGCAAAGGTACGTCCAATCTTTAAATAACCTCCTATCTAAGGACTTGAAAACACTAACAGAAGCTTTACCAAGGAGCATTCTCTTTGCTTAACTTATTTGAGACCCAAACATGGAAAACACCTTTGGATAATAAGCTCATCCTACGAACAATAAGATTGAAATCATACATTGTGAATTGTGGCTTCCATTAATGATTTGGAAGAGTATATTTGCCTAATAACTCATTTAAATTGTGGACTATATATACCCACCCTCCATTTATAGCCTTTTGACATCCAAGTGAAAAAGCATCTGAAGAGAACTTCAAAAATGAGTCTTTAATCTCAATGGTCGATTCCACTGAATAGTGAGTGATCAACCTCTCTATCTCTTACTCTTCAGATTGTGAAATTTGGTAGTTTCCTTTGAAATGTGAGTCTTGGTATCAATCACTTGTTGAAAATTTTTCATACTTCCATAACCCTATCCAAGATCAAATTAGAATTGGAGCTTAGGTTCTTCCATGGTTTCTTGTCTATGTAACTGCCAAATTGTACACAAGAGTGAAATTTCCAATATATCAAGATTGAAGAAATGCAAAAACGAGTGGAACGACTATAGCTAGTGTAATGTCCAACATTGGTTGGGGAGGAGAACAAAACACCATTTATAAGGGTGTAGAAACCTTCCCCTAGCAGACGCGTTTTAAAGCCTTGAGAGGAATCTTGAAAGGGAAAACCCAAAGAAGACAATATCTGTTAGTGGTGGATCTAGGTCGATACGAACGCTGGGCCCCAAAGGGGGTGGATTTGGCGGGGATCCTACATCAATTGGAGGAAGGAAAGAGTGTCAGAAAGGATGCTAGACCCTGAAGGGGGTGGATTGTGATGTCCTACATTGGTTGGGGAGGAGAACAAAACACCATTTATAAGGGTGTGGAAACCTTCTCCTAGTAGACGCGTTTTAAAGCCTTGAGGGGAAGCCCGAAAGAGAAAGCCCAAAGAGGACAATATCTGCTAGCGGTGGATCTGGGTCGTTACAGCTAGTTTCTTAATCCAGTAGATATAGAGAGATCAGAAACCTTTGTGAAAGTGAATTCAAAGAGAATTCTAGAAATAAAGATTTTCCTTCAACTTTGTATCTCTTTCCTTCAACTTTGTCATTAAGTGGTGAATTTGTTCATCTCAAACTCAGCCAACAGGCATTTGATATTCTTTAAGAAACTCAAGAGGAAATATAGACTACAACTTGGAAAAAGTGCAAGGCGGCCTGCAAAGCTCTATAGGAATATCTTATCTTGTCCCAAATTTAGGGTTATCAAAAGGACTCGTACGCCAAGGGCTAACCTAAACTGACTCGAAACTCCAAACTAATAGGTCAAAGTTTGATTATTGAGAAAGCGTTAGATCTCCTTGGATTAGGGCACACGTAAAAGTTTCCCAAGCTTGTCAACGGTACTCTTCTACATTACAAACATTGTAGAGCACAAATCACAGAAGCAATAACCCTTGTATTGAGTAGGGAAAGATATATCAATAAATCTTATGGATGGCCCCTAATCTCTAAGAGGTTGAAGGTGATTTTGGTGGTAAATGGACGAGTACTGTAAGCTCATCGCATTGCACCAGAATTAACTGTTTATGATACAGATAGTACACGTAAAACATATATTGAAACACATTTAAATTGAATGAGGTGAAACGTTAATACAGTACATCTACCCTGATAAAACTCACTTTAAAACTAGTATGCACCACTAGTGCTAGCTTAAAACCAAACAAGTCAATATCTAAGAACTTTTCCTTCTAAATACGACCTCCAAAAGTTGTTAGTTTATATATAAAGAGAACCTTAAATAATACGGTGCAGAGAAAAGCACGATGCTCACCTTCCTCCTTGGTTACTGATTTCTTGAACTGCATTCAGGCCAGATGATTGCAGAGGAACGTCACGGCAGCCAAATGAGGAATTTGAAACTACTGGAAATTTCTCAGTATTAATTAGAATTGCTGCAGATGATGATGGAACACCCAAGCACGTTCCATCAACAAGAATGTTAGGTTTACAATCAGGCGTTCTCTTCAGTTTTGAATTCCGCTTGCTATACTTCAACAAATATCGTTTAGTAGTATCTCTTCTCCTATACTTGAAGAAATAGTGATAGGGCTTTGCAATGCACCTGCACCTCTCATCCCCGGGCAGAGCGGACTTATCTTGTTTGTGTGGCAGTTGATGATCACAACCAGCACTCCTTAACTTAATTGACCTGCTCCTCAAATCATCTTTTGATGGCAACTCCTGGCAAGCATTACCCTTTATAGGCATAGGATCGTTACCCATGGATTCTCGATTGATTTCTAATGGTGCGATGTGATCTTCAGAAGCAGCTTTATCAAGAGAGTTGCATATATTGTTATGTATCAAAACTCGAGGGGTTTTACGGAAATCGAACTCCCTACTATGCAGCGCTCCTATCGATGTGTTGCCATCGTCTACGCTCACATTCTCACAGGCCATGTAGTTCGAGTTCACCAAACAAAAATTCTTGGAAAGTCTTGGAGAACTATTCATAGCTCGGTGCAACTCAATTGCCAACTCGGCGTCATCGGCAGATTCCCTAGACTCTTTGGCAGTGCTTTCATCCCTCTGGGCTACCAAGTTTAATGCGTCGCTAGCCAACTCAAAACCCATCCTATCAACAGCAGTCTTTTTCAGCGCGTGTTCTTCAGCTCTAACCGCAGCATTACCTTTCTTCTCCACCGAACAATTTGAATCCTTCAGTATTGCAGTCAATGATTTGCAGTCTCGGCTAGTTGAAACCTTAGAACTCTGCAAATCCGAAGCATGGATATTCTTTCTCCTAATTTTCCTATTTTTCAAAATAGCCCTAGCAGTGACGATTGGTTTAGGAACCCAACAATCAATACACACAGAAAACTCAGAACCCGAAGAGGAATACGACCAAGGAGCAACTCTACTATACTGAGCAAAACATTCCGTATGAACCCGACGGTTACAATCACAACAACTAAAAGAATCGCCTCTGGAGTCAGCAAAACAGTAAGAACAAACCTGAGAAGATTCGACAAGAGAGAAGCACTTCTTACAAAGAAGAACAATCCGCCACTCGCTGTAGAGGGAATTAAGCCTCGAACGACCGTCAACGACGTCAATACGAAATCCACAAGCATGACATTCCGAAAAATCAGGCAAATCCCGAGTTCTCTTTATCGGACCAGGGGCTTCGGGCTTGGCGGCTGGAGTTAGGTTGAGAGGAACCGAAGAGGATGAAGAAAGAGAAGGCGGCGGTGGCGGCGGCAGTGGTGGCGTTCGCGTTAATCGTCGTCTAAAGAAGGTTTTGTGCTCTTTCTTAACAATTTGAGTGGCTGATTCCATGGAGAGAATTGCGTATGAATGTGAATTGCGAGGAATTCATGGACATCGACTGAATTGGGAACAGGGATTTAGGGTTTATAACGACAAAGATTATAGAAACTAAAATTCCCTGTTTTGATAATGGAATCTTCTTCAAATCTTTCTTGATTCAAAATCAAATCTGCTAGGACTAGTTCGTTCTGATTTTAATACAAATTTTGTTTAGATCATTCAAAACAACAAGATTTTCAGTTCCATAATTTTGTCAGTATGGCCCATTTAATTACTTTACTTTTAGTTAGCCCACAACCTGAAAGCCCAAAGATTATGAACCCTAATTCATTATCCTTTCCCCTTATCCCCTGAAATTCCCGGATGCCAAACGGGTCGGGTTATTCGAGTTGAATCAAATCGGGTCGATAGCGCGGGCCGGGTCGGCTTCTTCCTTCTTCTCCTTCCTCCCCGCGACGGTCTTCTCCTTCTTTGTTCTTCGTGGTTGCAGAAACGGCGATTCCTCCTCCTCTTCTTCGACTTTTTTCGTCGCTCGCCCACGTTCCTTCCTTCCTCTGCTTCAGCCTCTGACCGTCCGGCTTCGTCTACGAGCAAAAGTCGTCTTCGCCAGCTTATGGCCTCGAGTTTCTCCTCGGCGTGCACCGTGATTGCGAAGGTGGATTCTTAACATTGCAAGATCTTCCGTTGGAATCTCTCCCGTGGCGTTGCTTCGACTCCAATAAAAAACACTTGAGGTTTTCACTCTCCTCCTTCAAACTCGCTCTCTCTGATTTGATGAACACCTTGGCCTCTCGAACCTACCGAAATCAAGAAGGAAATCGGGGTGGTTGGTTTACCCACGCCTTCTGTCAGCCTCTGTCCTCCCTCTGGCCAGTGTACGGTCAGCGGCTTCCTTCGTCCTTCCACCCTCTTTTCTCTCTATTCATTTATTCCTCATCTGTACTGGTTATTACAGCTTGAATTATGCACATGCAACTATGACTATCTTTACATTTTCTTTGCCTTTGTTGAATTCGTTTTTATGCTATGTAAAATGTTGTGTTGCCAGTAGAAAAAAAAGAAAAAAAAAAAAAAAAACTGTGTGGCTAAAAGTAGAAGTGAATTGTGTCTATAACAGGAATTTAGAATGGGGAAGCTGAAAGACAACACTATCTCAGGGTTCTTACCTACTGCCCAGGTTTTTGCAGTTCATTATCCTGGTTATCCTTCGTCAAAGCGACGGGCAATTGAAACTCTAGGAGGAAAACAATCAATTCTCAAGGTACAATTAATAGTTGATATCAAATAATTGGAAATCATTTTGAAATGTCTCACCGTTCCTTTTATTTCAGTTTTCGAGTTTTTCTCTTAGTATAAATCCTGATTGATTTGTAAATCTTTTGTTTTCGATAATAAACTGATGCTTCCTTGTGGAATGAACATCATTCGTTGGAAGTTGAAGTTGATTAATTGTGGGATTTTTTTCCCATTTTTTTGTTGATTCTCTTTTTATTTAGTTTTACAACGTGACATAATTTGATTTGAGTAATTCCATTTCTTTTCATGATTAGAATGAATTCTATTAAATAATGTTACCCTCTATTGTGAAAAGTGTATTATAGAAAGGTTAAAAAGAGGACTTTTGCTTCTGACTTTATTTAGTGGGACATGTTGTGTACAGTGGGAAGGGCAGTCGTATTTGTAGGGAAATGAGATGAATGTGTAGGGAGAATTGTGAATGTTATCAAAGTAGATGGTAGGGAAGAAGGGTTATCAGCTCTCATAGAATAGTCAAGTTTAGTGTTTTGTGAGTCTGAATCAATAGAATAGTAAGGTGATACCTTACACATAATTCTTTTTTCACCTCATCCGTGCTCTACATATCATAGAAAATGTCCAAAAGAATGTGACTCTGCGCTTTGAGGAGGTTATAATATATTAGAGACCACATTGGAAGAGGAATCTTCAGGAGTGCAAGAGGGAAAGTGAAGAGTGCTAGAAGGCAAGTGAGGAATGCAGTTCCAATTATTTATAGATCAAATGTTTTGTATATAACTTGCTACATTTGCATTGTTTTCTTAATTTATTTCGTTCAATTTCTTTCATTTTATCTTCTTGTTTCAATAATTCAGATTTCTCCTTTAACCCTTATGTGGTGATCTAGGTTCGTGATCTCCAATCAAATAAGTTAGAGCTTCGCTTTAGGCCTGAGGACTCATATTCACATCCAACACACGGAGAGCTTCGTCCATGCAGTTGTTTTCTTTTGAAAATACGTGAGTACATGTACCTTTATTTATTTATTTATTTAGTATTATTATTATTATTATTTTATTTTATTTTATTTTATTTTATTTTTTTGAGATTTGAAGCATACAAAATAACTAACTCAAGAATTGATATGATGAAAGGTCACCCAAAAAGTGATTCTACTGAGGGAATCAAGAATGTTGAAAAAGAAGTACCTAGAGAAGATGAAATAAACCTGGACTTTGAGATGGTTGCTTGCGTGCCTGAAGCATATCATTTTGAGGGTTTGTTGTGATTTTCATTATCTTGTGCTAAGTCTTATGATTTAGGTTTTTGGGTCATATCTGAATATCTATAAGTTCTCTATTCTAATGTTTATTTCAATTTATTTTAAGGCATGGCTGACTACCAACATGTTGTTGCTACTCATGCGGATGCCACCAAGAGGAAGAAGGGGAATTGGACAGAAATGCACGAGCCATGTTTAGGTGTTATTTTTGTATTTAATGTGCATATTATTATTCATTTGAGAGGGACACATGGCTGCTATGAATTGTCATAAATTTATTAATGAGTAAATGGTAAATTTGATTTATGCAGGGAAGGTTAATGCCATTGATGTGGACAAGGAGGATACTATGATTTTAGTTCCTCCAGTATTTGCGTTGAAGGATGTGCCTGAAAGTTTAGTGTAAGGATCTTTTACGTCTATCATTTGGTTATATTAAGTATCTATTCTTTATTTGTACGGTTCAGACATACCTCATAATTTTTTTTTATTATACAATATTAATTTTTTCTGCAATGGTAAGTAAATTTAAATAATCCAGACTATTTGTGAGAGTTTTATCAAATCATAGGGACCATTTATGAGATTTTATCAAACATAAGGATGAAATTCGAACTTTTAAAGCCGTAGGGACTAAATTCTAACTTTCCTGAAACCATAGTATCAAATTTGTAATTTATCTAACATATTACTATTTTGTTTTATTTTGTAGGTTAAAAACACCTTCCATGTTTACTCCAAGAAAGAAACAAGAAACTCCACATACTCCTTGTGAGGTAAAAGCTTTCTTGCATCTAAACGAAGAGTAGAGATTTATTTACTATCTATATTATTATTATTTTTATGTGCTATTGGTTTTCTCATGTATGTGTCTTCCATGTATTTGTATTTTGTATTGGATGCAATTAAATAATGATTTGTATATTGGCCATTTGCAAGTGTTATAGCCATTACGAAGATGATTTTGACTAATATGCTTGTTTCCATGTTTTGCAGGTGGATATAGAACCTGTTCTTGCAATTGATTTTAACATTAAAGATATCCTTGTTTACTTATCTGCTACTAGATTTTATTTATGAAATTTTATTTTCTCTATTCCTGCGAAAAATTAATAATATATTTTGGTTGCAGGAGTATTTCTGGTTTCCCTTCAGCCACTTTTCATGCATTTTACTTGTGAAATTTACAGTATGATAAGTGATGTACATGATAAATATCAATTTTTTTTTTATTGAGTTGTATTAAATAGACCATTTAAAATTTCTTGATTGGATCACACCAAGTTTAAATCAATTATGGGGAAAAAATGATAAGTAAAACACCAAACACTGAATTAAAGAAAAAATAAAAAACCAAACCAATGCGTACATAATTCCAAGAATAATTCTGAAAAATTGGCCATCTAGATTTTGTTGAATCTTCAGTCATTCGTAGGTTTCTTTCATGAACTGATCTATTTAAGATTATTATTTCTCTATGTTCATCTGTAGGTTTGATACTGCGTGTCTTTATGCTCCTAAAAGTCTTGAGGTTTTCTAAGAGTTGAATTTGTTTACGTGAACCTTGAAAGCAGCCTTTTCTTTTTGTTGTACCTTCTTTTATTGGACTTAACATTCTTACATATTCCAAAGACTGTAATCTGGGAGAAATTCGTACCCCAAGGGTCAGAGGAATGGGATTTTCAAGTTGCTGTGTCTAATTTGTTCGAGGAACGTCCTATATGGCCGAAGGAGTCTCTAGTCGAACGAATGCTGAAGATGGGCTTAGTTTTTAGACATGGAGTGTTTAGAAGGTTTTGACCTCCATGCTACTTTCTGTCCATAATTTTTTTCTTTTTATCATCCATAGATAGAACTCGTGTTTGTGTTGTCTTAATTCTTTTTTCAATGTGCAGGCTTCTTTCTAGAATTGCATATTACTTTTCCAGTGGACCTTTCCAACGATTTTGGATAAAAAAGGGTTATGATCCTCGAAAAGATTGTGATTCTCGCAAGTGAGCACTTTGCTTAAATGATAGCAGCTTTTTATATTTTAGTTTCTTCCCTTCGTTCCTCGGATAATTGTATGTAAATACATTCCATGGCTAAGAAATAAACCTGACTTGTAGTTGGGTTTTACTGATTTATGGTTCTTTCTAGGGACACGGTTAACGACATCTCAATTAAGAAGTAACTTGCATCATCTCAATATGATGATAAACACCACGTTTATTAACAAATATAAACACCATATAAGAAATCATAAAAATCATTTAAGTTATAAATTGACTGTTCTGGATTATTTATTGACGTTTTCATTATAACAGATACCAACGGATTGATTTTCGAGTACCACAGTCATTACGAAGTTACTGCAATTCCAATGCTTCCGATGAGTAAGTTTGCTTTTACCATAAATTCTATACAACATAAGGCAATAAGAACCAGAATTTCATAGCAACGCATTGGACCTATGCTGATTGGTATTGAAATAGTTTTTCTTTTGTTACCTCATCATTTATGTGTTTCAATTTTTCCTTTCACACAGGATGAGTTACGCACATGAAAAGATATGTGCATTTCAAGTTTTTCCTCACAAGTTTCAAACATCATTACAACTTTTTGAACTTGAAGATGAGTATATTCAAGAAGAGATAAAAAAGCCCTCCGAGGAAACATCTTGTTC